GCAAATTGCATGCATTTACTTATATCTGATAATCGAGATATTTAACAATGAATAACATGCAATTTCAGCCGAGGGGGGCCATTAATTGGTCCGTGCCCAGGTCACCGCTACATCATAATCCGTCCTATACAGTATATTATGTTATAAGATTGTTTATATGTTTTGCTCTAAAAAAGAAAGCAAAAAATAAATAAATAAATAAATTATATACCGGTATATAAAAAATAAATAAAATATATGTATATATATACTGAGTTCTGTTGTCCTCTCTCAGACAGATGAATGGAGACTGAGTGAGGTAAATAATTCAGCGTGTGTGTGCCATATATATACATACATACATACATACATATATATATATATTTTTTTTGCAGTGTTTCTAAGATAAAACAATATCAACAATATAAAAAAGCAATGTAATGTACATTTTAATGTCTTTGCCCCTGTAATCTAAGTATCTCTGTAGACGCATAAGCGACTACTGTACCTGTTCCCCTGAGGCAAAATGAAGCAGAACAAATTTGTGATTTAACAAAAGGCTCATAAATGATGGATGGAACCAGTGGTCATGTCAGAGGTACAGCTCTGGGAACAAAATTAACCCTCTTAAATGACCTGTGTCTTAATGTGGTCAAAGTATGTGGAGCATGCATGCTTGCAAGACTCACCACGCTAACGTTAACACACTAGCCTGTCAAGAACATGTGTTTGGGAATTCAGGGTGTGTCCACTACAGCACAGGCATATCAAAACAAAACAAAGAGCTGAGACGAAACCAAAGGCAACAAAGAATATGGCACAGGCGCTAACAGCTAGTCTAAAGTGCCGGTAATTAAGAAAACAGTGTGAGAGAGCTAAGACGTGTAAAATGGTGAATAAAACAATCAGCTTAGATCGCATTAATGTAATTGTTATAGTTACACGATGCGGTTGGTCGTGTCGTTTTATGTGGCATGCCAGCAGGTTTGATAAAACAACAGCTGAGCTTTATTACCATTTAATGCTAAGCAATGGCCTATCAAACCTACAAACCAATGCTACAAAACGACAAAGACATTTTGGCTTCAAGATGTTAGGGGAAACATTATGACTTAACCAGGATGTATGCAAGCTGCAAAACTGCTTAATTCTTTTTGTTCATCTCTGGCAAATCTAGAATGAGCTTATGATGGTCAAAATGTAGTCTAGGTAGTTTTTCACAAGCCTATGATGCAAAAAATAATGGTTAGGCATCTTAAAAAAGTACCATGGCACAGTGACGGTCTCAGATGGGAAATAGACACTATTTGATTTATACTGTACATTGTGATAATTACTATATTAATGTACCATAGGTCCTCCAAGGTCCTCCAAAGAATACCATGGTACTACAGCATGTTATAAAAAACAAACAGTTGTATTCTATTATTTTCATTATTAATACTTTTATTCAACGAGGATGCATGAATTGATCGAAAGTGACAGTAGAGGCTTTTGTTAAACACTTTCAAATAAATGCTGTTTTACATTTTCTATTCAAAGAATACAAAAAAAAGTATATATATATATATATATATATATACATATACATACACATACATACAGTAT